TAAAAATCTCGTGTAGTTTTCATTTAATTTAGTTTTGAAATATAAGAATAAAAACCAGTCTAACTCATTAATCCTTAGTTAGAATAATAATTTATGGATTATTTTCCATTTAAAACTTCATATATTTTTATGGTAATACTAAAAATAATTGATTTAAATATATGATTCCGAGTTTGACATGGTGTTTGATAAGTCATGGAAAAGTTATTATTTATTATAAACTCGATGAATGTTTATTTAAGTAACATTATTTATAAATAAATTCAAATCAATCAAAAAACTAAAAATCTATAGAAAGCACATGACATTTGATAGTCTCAACAGAAATAAAAAAAATTAATTATTAATATAAACGCCATTAAAAGTCCAACAAAAAGGCTTCCCATTAATAAAGCCATGAATCGCAAGACACTCGTAGGGATTGTATTGGTGTCGCTCACCATTTATTCGGTCTTTATATTTATTTGTCACTTGAATATTTTGTTTATGTCATAAATTATATAACATTTTAATCTAAAACTTAATTATATTTTTCTGTCTCTCTCTCACTGTTTGCCAATCAATCGAAAGTGTTGTTCAGCGCTCAAGATATCGCTGTATTACGAGACCCTCTGTCCCGACAGCCAGAGGTTTGTGAAGCAACAGTTACATCAGGCGTACCAACTGTTTGGCGATCAGATCAGTGTCCAGCTCATCCCCTTTGGCAATGTCGACGAGTATAAGGACACAAATGGTGTACTTAAGTACCACTGCCAGCACGGCATTCAAGAGTGCCGGGGTAACAAGATTCAGGTTATAACATACTACCGTAGTATATGAAGTCCAGAGTCTGGAACTGAAACTTAAAGCCGGGACCTAAGAACCCGCATAACCCGCTAGCACATATCTATTATAAACACATAAATTGCTGAAAAGTAATATAATGTACAGGGTGTTAAAAAATAACTAAATAATTTTATTCAAATGATCTAATTTCCAAATCATTTAGATAAAATTACTTAATGAGATCGTTAGATGAGAACTAAATTAACTAAATTGTTAACTGAATTAAGCACTTAGTGAACAAAATTATGAAATGGCGAAACTAAATTAAAAACTTGATAAAGTCAACAATTAAGTTCGTTAATTAGTTAATATAGTTAACAATTTAGCTAATTTTTTTAATAAATTGCTTAATTTAATTTATAATTTAGTTAATTGAGTCAACAATTGAGTTGATATTGTTCACAATTTGCTAATTCGTTAACTTATTGCTTAATTTAGTTTGTGTTTAATTTAGTTTCGCCCATTTCATAATTTAGTTCACTAATTGCTTAATTCAGTTAACAAATTAAGCAATTAGTTAACGAAATTAGCTAATTGTGAACAATATCACCTAAATTATTTACTCAATTAACTAAATTATAAACTAAATTAAGCAATGTGTTAACAATATTAGCTAAATTTTTATCTCTATTAACTAATTTATGAACCAAATTGTTGACTTAATTTACTAAATTGTGAACTAAATTAACTTATTCTTTAACGAAATTAGCTAATTCTGAACAATATAAACTAAATTGTTGACTTAATTAACTAAATATGATGTTTAGAATAACATGATTTTCAATATTTAATAACAAACATAATTTCATTATTATCTCAATACTATCTGATCACCCGGTACATGAATGTGTTATCAGTATAACGAAATTAGCTAATTCTGAACAATATAAACTAAATTGTTGACTTAATTAACTAAATATGATGTTTAGAATAACATGATTTTCAATATTTAATAACAAACATAATTTCATTATTATCTCAATACTACCTGATCACCCGGTACATGAATGTGTTATCAGTATTGTTTGTTTAGTACCTGGATATAGATTATTGAGTGCCAAGATACAGATTAAGTGTGTGCAGGCGAGCTTATCAGTAAACAGATCTCCACTTTTAAGTTTCCTTGCAGTCAATGCTGTTGTCCATATGTTTTGTTTACAAAGCTGTTTGGCTCTCAGTTGGCTCAGGCACCAGAACTGTAGTTAAATGTCAAACTTTTACTGCACTAGCATTTAGTAGTCAAATGTCAAAACATATTCAATAAATTCAGTCGCTTTTGTACTTTTACTAATAAAACTCAAATCATTTTACCTGGACACAGATTCATTTTAAGTGATTGTTAAACCAAGCTATGTAATTTTATCCTACCTCTTACTACCCATTATCAGCTCAGCCTACCATATATTTCATGAACGTATTCAGACGAGTGAAAACAATGTCAACCACTGGAACACCTATTTATATAGTGGTGGCGCCCAAGCATTTGAGCCCAAACACCCAGTACCACGTCAGCGTATCGGTGTACCGGGTAAGTCGTCCTTTACAAGTAGATGTGAGAGTCATGGGAAGTACAGATAACAGCGCCAGTGGGTCAGTGCACTTCGACAAATCCGATACCAAAACTGTTAGCTTAGAGATCGGCGACTGGTCTGATGGGAACTACACACTAGCCGTGGACATTGGTAGCGGGATAACTGTACCATTCAAACCACTATTTGGGTTAACTCGCGCATCTACACTCGACAGACACCGGGAACTAGTATTTAAAGCGAACAATCCATTAGTTTTCATTCAAACTGATAAACCCATATATAAACCTGGTCAGTTGGTTCAGTTCAGAGTCATTGTGGTCGACCAATCACTGGTACCCAAAGTCAACACATTGGTTGACATATACATCAAAGTATGTCTCGTTTTTTAGATTATTTTCCACTATATTTTGAATACATTTCAATAAATTAATAAATTTTGACCGAAAGGACGAAAACAGAAATCGTATCAAACAATGGACTCAAGTGTTGGTCACGAATGGTGTGGTCTCTCGGGAACTCCAACTGTCAGAACAACCAGTTTTAGGCAATTGGGCCATAATTGTGGACATTAAGGGACAGACATTTCA